TTGGCCTCTGTGGAGGGACCGAGCATGGCAGGCGGCACGTGGGGTCTCGAGCATCAGCTCTTGCCTGCACATGGACAGTCATACCAGCTCTCCATTCTTCAGTGTCCTACCTTTTCATCTCACACTTGGGCCTGTCAACAGATTTGGTGTGCCCTTTAGCTGTTGGTGGGGATGTTAAACAAGATTAGCGTGTTCTTTATAATACTGTTCTTTACATGCCTCTCACCTTTCTTCCCATCCCAGCTCTTAATGGAGGTGAAGAGGCTGTTCTGATGCTTTTACTGAAGAAGTGAAGGTCATGTCCCTTCCCCATGGCTGGCTTCTGGCCTCCTGCCCCCCAGAAACTCTTGCTTCCATAGCCTGCAGCATCTCCCACTCTCGAGCTCGCCCACCCTTGCTCTCCCTTATGTGATTTGCTGGGAGGGAAGCTGTTACATACTTTTAAGAGCCTGATAGGATCGTGTTCCTAGGAAGACACTGAGTATCCTCCCAAGCTATCTCCTTTTTCATGCTGATGTTCTGGATGGAACAGGTCACCCACTCTATGGCTGTGCCCTCTGTCATCAGTTGGATGGAGCCCTGATAAGGAATCTACAATGAGAAGCAATGAGGAGGGCACGTAGAATTTGTGATCTGCTGGTCTAAGGACACGATCCCCAGGAGATAGCAAACTGCAGAACTATTTAAAAGTTCCAAAGGGAACCTCACAAGTTTATATGCTTGTATAAAGTGACATTGTGAGTATGGAACTTCTTTCTTCTCTTAGCAGCGAAATTTTTCAATGCAATTTAGTTTTCTTTTATGGTTGCTTGCCCTTCACTAATCTGACCTCGATGGCAATACCACATTAATGTGCGAGAGTCTTCCATTCTTCTCTGGATATCTTTTGTTGTGCTGTTATTGTTGTGATCNTTCTTTACATGCCTCTCACCTTTCTTCCCATCCCAGCTCTTAATGGAGGTGAAGAGGCTGTCCTGATGCTTTTACTGAAGAAGTGAAGGTCATGTCCCTTCCCCATGGCTGGCTTCTGGCCTCCCGCCCCCCAGAAACTCTTGCCTCCATAGCCTGCAGCATCTCCCACTCTCGAGCTCGCCCACCCTTGCTCTCCCTTATGTGATTTGCTGGGAGGGAAGCTGTTACATACTTTTAAGAGCCTGATAGGATCGTGTTCCTAGGAAGACACTGAGTATCCCTCCCAAGCTATCTCCTTTTTCATGCTGATGTTCTGGATGGAACAGGTCACCCACTCTATGGCCGTGCCCTCTGTCATCAGTTGGATAGAGCCCTGATAAGGAATCTGAGCCCTGATAAGGAATCTACAATGAGAAGCAATGAGGAGGGCACGTAGAATTTGTGATCTGCTGGTCTAAGGACACGATCCCCAGGAGATAGCAAACTGCAGAACTATTTAAAAGTTCCAAAGGGAACCTCACAAGTTTATATGCTTGTATAAAGTGACATTGTGAGTATGGAACTTCTTTCTTCTCTTAGCAGCGAAATTTTTCAACGCAATTTAGTTTTCTTTTATGGTTGCTTGCCCTTCACTAATCTGACCTCTATGGCAATACCACATTGATGTGCGAGAGTCTTCCATTCTTCTCTGGATATCTTTTGTTGTGCTGTTATTGTTGTGATCATGGAGGTTGTGGTTGTAAAAACAGGTCACTCATTCACAAAGACTGAAAAGCCATAAAAATATCTTGGTCAGATTTTCCCTCCCTCTGTCCCCCAGCCCACAGTGGACACCCACTGTGTTAGTATTTTGCACATCCTTCCAGGTTTATTTTCTGCACATATGAATATATGTTATTTCCCTTTTTTAAACAGATGGTGACATACTTTGTATGTGAAGTGTTCTGTGCCTTGCCTTTTTATTCAACAATACATCTTGGAACTCTTTACATAAAAATGTATAAAGAGGTATCTCATTCTTTTTTGGAGGTGCAGAATATTCTGTCGTATGGATGCTCCCTAATTAATTTAAGCACTTTCCCATAGATGGACATTTAGGCTTTCTGGTAGTTTCTGAAATGAAGAATATAGATGAAAATGAACAAGTAGAATTCCCATTGACTGAATGTAGCTTAGACAAAGTCAGAGTTTGAGCATGGTCTTGTGTTGTCCATAAGGTGTTTTGCTATAAAATGATAAAGACTTTTATTGTTGTCTTTAGTGGAAGTTCTAGCTTTGCACGTGTACTTTTGGGCAGTCCTAGAAAAATCAAGGGGGAGCATTGTGCACATTTTTAGTGGATTATTTTGTAAGCTATTGGGTCGTCAATCTTGGAAAATAATGAGGTTGTTTTAAAAGATTGTTCTCTGAATCCAGCCAGTGGTATATAAATTCATAAGGTTGATAAAGGGAAATAAAGAGTTAGTAGCCATCATTCAGAATGGAATTTGAAAGATTTCAGGGTCAGGAAAAGTTTCCCGAGTGATAAATAAGCCACTTTTCCATCAGTTTTATTTACTAGGTGCCTTAATGGGCTAGATTTTGGGCGGTGGGAAGGCAGGACTGTAACTTTCACGAGGAAAATGTAGCTGACACATCTTAGCTCATAAATGTTTTCTTAATTGAATGCAAAGCATGATCAAAGAATTTTTAAGTATGGGAAAGGCAGCCTTAGCAATATATTAGTGTACATTGTACAGAGCGTATGTATTAAAGCATTAACGTGATCTGATGTTTGAACTAGCAGAACGTTGGAAGATGAAAGTCGTAATTTAGGAAGGAATAAGCTGTAAAGTTCACTTTATGCTTCCTTTTGAAGTATTGCTTTTAATGACCTTGAAAATCTTATTTGTAGCTAAACATAAATCTGGAATTATATATGTATCCAGTAGATGAATTTAACCTGTTAGCAAAATGGTTCGGTAGTTAAGAAACAAACTCTATTTTTGTGAGTCTGAAGAGGAGAAAATGACCTTGTGTGACAGGAAACAGCTGGATGGGCCTTGTGGAACCCTCTGAAGAATCAGGAGCCTGTCAGGATGGGAAAGTCCCTTCCATATTTGAAGCTACTGGGAGAGTTTCTTACCTTTTGTCTGTTTTGAACATATCCCTTGTAGTTTGTTTGATGATTCCTTTGGCAATTAGGTTGCATATTGGTTGAGTCGTATAACATTAGACAGAAGTGATTTCTAATTCATTCAGTGCTGTCGAAAAATAATCCCTATGAACCTCCTTGCATTCCTGTAATTTATATGTCCATCAAATTATAGAAGGTAAAGAAAGTTAGGATTGATGATTATGATTTCTTTGAGAGTAAATCAGAATGTCAGAGTGACTAATGGTGACAATAATACGTGTATATAAGCGTCTCCTGTCAGATTTTGAGTTCAGAGCACTTTATTTGCACCAATGTATTGGTTTAACCCTGAATTAAGAGCCTACATGTATCAAATAACATACTCAGTTTTACTTTATGATGAGAAGCAAGAGATAGGCAGCCTGTGGAGCCAGCATCAGACTCAGGACCATTCTGTGTTTGGGTGTTGGTGTTCAGCTTCATGAAGTTATGAGTTTTTTGGGGGGTGGGAAGAGGGGAGGATATGATTAAAAATTTATATGTCCTATGATGACGCAGACTTGGGGTGGGTTTGCCGTGTTATTTCAGCTTGGTTCTCAGTGAGGAAACCAAAGCAAAACTAGATGAACTGGTCCGAGACTGTGAGCCTCTGTCTGTTAGCAGAGCTCCTCTCTGTTGATTCTCAGTTCAAGAGCATCTTCCCTCAAGGTGTTTTTGTCTTAAGTGTTGATTTGTTGTAGATAATTTTTTTTTCTTTTAACTAGTTTGCTAAGTTCCAAATTCATTCTCTCTCTAGCCAGAGCCCCTTGAAGCTTTTGCTGCTGTTATATCCAGGTTCTCCATCACTTTCAGAGTTTCTCGGCTGCCAGGCCAGGGTGTCACAAGGCGTTATTGTGGTTTTGAAAGAGGGTGTGATAGTGGGGCAGATCCCACTAGAAAGACATTCCTACAGAAACGACTTTGTGTGACATGGCCAAAGTCTGCAGACCCCAAGCCACGTTCAACTTAAGTGACTCCAGTCAAACTCAGTGAACAAATTCCCTAGAGAGACGGCCCTGTTCAGTGCACTGTTCATCATTGGGGTGATCGAGTTTTATTATTCCTTCTTGGCTGTAATGTCTGATTTCTGTAGTTGAAGGTCGCTCTGTGTTGGCTGAGGCACATTACGGCAGCTTTGGCATGGGTCCTGTGCCCCACCCCAAGCTCCAGCACTGTCCCTTTATTGCAAAGCTGTTCTTAGCAAAGGGGGATTCTTGTCCCTGCTTCCAAAATATCAGACTCAGATGCTAATCTTTCCTAGGTGCCTTCCTCCTCCCCTATTTCCATGGGGAGTATCTCTCCTTGTCCAAACACCTCTTTATTTAAACCCCATCTCTTCTTGCTGTTTTTATATCTCAAGCATTTGTATCTGTCATAAGATTATAGACT